TATATATAAAAAGAAAAATAATTTTAGTTTTCATTTAAGATTATTTTAGACAAAAGAAAATGTTAATTATTTGGAATTTTTTTATGTTTAAAATATTTATTAAATGTGTTAATATTTGTATTATAAAAAGGTACATATAAACTTTTATACATTATGTATAAGTATTACAATTATAAAAATAAAAGAAATTTTTTTTATTAAAAATTGAATAAGAAAAATGTATTGACATTTACATTCACAAGCAAAATGTATATTTTTCTTAACATTAATTGTTATTTATAAACAGTTTATAAAACCTGAAAGATATGTTGAAAGAATAACAAAAATAATGCATATGTAAAAATATTGATTAAATGAAGTATGTATCTAATAAAAAAGGTTATTATTTGCGCAAGCAATGTATATATTTAATAACTACAACGTTAAATAAAAACTTTTGTAAAAGGTATTTTATTAAAAAGTGTGTAATTATTTGAACAATAATAAATACTCATAAATACAAATAATTGAATAAATATTGACAGAACTGTTTAGTTTTTGTGTAGTCTCCCTTTAAATAATTTTATTAAATGTGTATATCTGTATAATAAAAATTTTAATTAAGACACACGTGTATAATTAATAAAATGATAAAAAAACGTTAAAAACAATTTAAATCAAAACAAAATGTTAAAAGTAATTTAGAAACAAATAAATACAAAAATAAATAAAGAATGCTTAGGAAAAGAAGAACAACAACATAAAATGTGTAATGGTTTTTGACTGCATTTCTTCCATTAATGTTTCTAAACCTGCATGAGAAAAACAAGCACATATCCAAGTTTGTACAAGATGTAGTTGTAGTTCACGCATCTTTTCTGCAAAGATATTTAAGTGATTTGATTAACATTTACATCATGTTGACAACTTCATGTGTGCTGCACTTGGAATAGAATTTTCTTAACTAGAGGGTTAATAAAGAAAACGTTACTTGAATCATGTTGTAGTTACATTTTCAAGTTGACTAGTTAAAAATCGTAAAAAGTCAAAATCGGTCAATCGAGATTTAAATTTTTTGCCATATCGCCCAGCCCTAGCAGTAACTAACATCCCCTGGGCTGACCTGAGACGAGCCCAGGACACTCTGTATGTGCTCCAGTCCCTGCGCAGCGTCCAGCAGGGCGGCGCTCATCACGGCGGCAGCAGACGGCCGCTCGCTCATCCTGAGCACAGTCACCATGTAGCCGTCGGACACGATGAGGAGCGGCTGACGAGGATGGCACGTGACGGAGTAGCGCTGTCTCATGGGGTCACGGAGCGACACGCTGGAGCTGGAGACGCCACCGTCCTGCGTCTGCAAAGGCACTGGAGGTCTACGGATCAAATCGATGAATACAGTCAGAACACTTGAAATATAAAATCTTTGTTCATGCATGACAGCATGCATCTGATATAAAGCTTGCATTCATATTTTTATAGTGTTGCACATTATAAATGCAAGAGGAAATGATGTCTCATGCCTGCAGTGATGTGATTATTAGGTAAAGACGTCTCACTATTCATGTACTTACATTGAACAATGACCAAGGAAAAGGAAGAAAAAGATGAACAGAGATGTAAAAATGTTGAATAAAAGAAGAAAAGAATGCTTAGGAAAAGAAGAACAACAACATAAAATGTGTAATGGTTTTTGACTGCATTTCTTCCATTAATGTTTCTAAACCTGCATGAGAAAAACAAGCACATATCTTCACTCAGCGACACTGGAAGGGTCAACAGCATAAACAAGAGCAAGCAATCAAATCACCTGTAAGTGACCAGCGGGTGAAGCGGCAGGAAGTGGGCGGCACTGAACTCAACGCTGCATCCTGTTGTGGACAGAGACACGAGTCCACCGAGACGCGCCAGCATGAGCAGAGAGCCTCTCTTCAGCACACAGGCCAGATAAAGCCCTTCTGGAGTCCAGCTCACAGAACCGGCCCAGTACGACCTGCAGAAAACAGAGCGCTTCTCATTCTCTACTTTACACTTCTCAACTATACTTCGTGCTGTTACTGCCTCGTATGCATGCATCTTATTTTACCTACTGTTTATTTCTATTTAACGCACATCTGCTGATTATGCTGCTGAACACAATGTTGCTGACCAAGTTGACTTTTTCATAACTGTGCATATGACAAATATAAATCTTGAATCTCAAAGATGGGGAGTGAAACAATCCCACAAACCCCTTTTAAATCACTATTCTCAATATTCAAGCGCTTTATGACCATGGAGGAGAAAGAAAAAGATGAATACAGATGTAAGAATGCTGATATTTGTACAAGTAATATACACTGCCGCTCAAAAGTTTGGGATCAGTAAGACTTGTAATGTTTTTTAAAGAAGTCTCTTCTGCTCATCAAGGCTGCATTTATTTGATCAAAAAGAAAGAAAAAAACAGTAATCTTGCAAAATGTTATTACAATATAAAATAATGGTTTCTATTTTAATATCCTTTAAAATATAATTTATTTCTGTGATGCAAAGCTGAATTTCCATCAGCATCATTACTCCAGTATAAAGTGTCACATGCTCTTCAGAAATCATACTAATATGCTGATTTATTATTAGAATTATCAATGTTGGCAACAGTTACGCTGCCAAATATTTTTTTTGGAAACTGCGATACTTTTTTCAGGATTCTTTGATGAATAAAAAGTCAAAAAGAACAGCATTTATTCAAAATATAAATATTTTCTAACAATATAAATCTTTGCTATCACTTCTTAACAATTGAACACATC